TGTTGACAGACTGTATAGTGTACAGCTAAGGGGATCCGGTTAGTTTGGTGTGTTGGTGACAGACTGTATAGTGTACAGCTAAGAGGATCCGGTTAGTTTGGTGTGTTGTTGACAGAATGTATAGTGTACAGCTAAGAGGATCCTGTTAGTTTGGTGTTGTGGTGACAGACTGTATAGTGTACAGCTAAGAAGATCCGGCTAGTTTTGTGTGTTGTTGACAGAATGTATAGTGTTCAGCTAAGAGGATCTTGTTAGTTCGGTGTTTTGTTGACAGAATGTATAGTGTACAGCTAAGAGGATCCTGTTAGTTTGGTGTTGTGGTGACAGACTGTATAGTGTACTGCTAAGGGGATCCGGTTAGTTTTGTGGTGTTGTTGACAGAATGTATAGTGTACAGCTAAGAGGATCTTGTTAGTTTGGTGTGTTGTTGACAGAATGTATAGTGTACAGCTAAGAGGATCCTGTTAGTTTGGTGTTGTGGTGACAGACTGTATAGTGTACTGCCAAGAGGATCAGATTAGTGACAGACTGTATAGTTTACAGCTGAGGAGATCCTGTTAGTTTGGTGTGTTGGTGATAGATACTGTGAAATGTTTAACTGGGGAGTACAGTTGTGTTTTGTGTCTGTTTTATGACAGATTGTACGGTGTTTAGTTGGATAATTAAGCTAACTAATTGTTTTGTTGGGACATTTTCTAATCTTCGGTTGATTAGATCCAGGGAATTAGACTTTTTGTTGAAGAACTGGGAAAAGTCAGTAATGTAGTTGTTGAAGAACTGGGAAAATTTAGTAATGTGGTTGTTGAAGAACTGGGAAAAGTTAGTAATGTGGTTGTTGAAGAACTGGGAAAGTCAGTAATGTGGTTGCCTGATTTTTATGATGTTATAGTCACCTCTGTTTACTGTCAAGTGTGTAAATAGGTTACTATACACATTTATCGATCACGATGCCTGTTTCGTGAGGCACTTTGTAATGTTTTGTTCTCTCTCTCCTCTCTCTCTTCTAAAGAGCCATTGATAAAAGAACATAAAACTAAAGGGCATATCGAGTTAGTATATATTACAGATTTCCTCCGTATAACAAAGATCAGTAATAACCTATTTAACCTGTAGTAAGTACATGAATTATTTGGTAGTAAGTACATGAATTATTTGGTAGTAAGTACATGAATTATTCAGTAGTAAGCACGTGAATTATTTGGTAGTAAGTACATGAATTATTTGGTAGTAAGTACATGAATTATTTGGTAGTAAGTACATGAATTATTTGGTAGTAAGTACATGAATTATTCAGTAGTAAGCACGTGAATTATTTGGTAGTAAGTGCATGAATTATCCAGTAGTAAGTACATGAATTATTCAGTAGTAAGTACATGAATTATTTGGTAGTAAGTACATGAATTATCCAGTAGTAAGTACATGAATTATTTGGTAGTAAGCACGTGAATTATTCAGTAGTAAGCACGTAAATTATTCAGTAGTAGGTACGTGAATTATTCAGTAGTAAGTACATGAATTATTCAGTAGTAAGTACATGAATTATTTGGTAGTAAGCACGTGAATTATTTGGTAGTAAGTACATGAATTATTTGGTAGTAAGCACATGAATTATTCAGTAGTAAGCACATGAATTATTTGGTAGTAAGTACATGAATTATTTGGTAGTAAGCACATGAATTATTCAGTAGTAAGCACATGAATTATTTGGTAGTAAGTACATGCATTATTTGGTAGTAAGCACGTGAATTATTTGGTAGTAAGTACATGAATTATTTGGTAGTAAGTACATGAATTATTCAGGTAGTAAGTACATGAATTATTTGGTAGTAAGTACATGAATTATTCAGTAGTAAGTACATGAATTATTTGGTAGTAAGTACATGAATTATCCAGTAGTAAGTACATGAATTATTTGGTAGTAAGTACATGAATTATCCAGTAGTAAGTACATGAATTATCCAGTAGTAAGTACATGAATTATTCAGTAGTAAGCACGTGAATTATTTGGTAGTAAGTACATGAATTATTCAGTAGTAAGTACATGAATTATTCAGTAGTAAACACGTGAATTATTTGGTAGTAAGTACATGCATTATTTGGTAGTAAGCACGTGAATTATTTGGTAGCAAGTACATGAATTATTTGATAATAAGCACTTGAATTATTTGGTAGTAAGCACGTGAATTATTCAGTAGTAAGTACGTGAATTATTCAGTAGTAAGCACGTTAATTATTCAGTAGTAAGAGAAGCGGTCTTTAAAGATGTTTAGTCAGATTGATATCCGTTTACTGTTGAGTTAAACCATACTTAGAGAAGCGGTCTTTAAAGATGTTTAGTCAGATTGATATCCGTTTACTGTTGAGTTAAACCATACTTAGAGAAGCGGTTTTCAAAGATGTTTAGTCAGATTGATATCCGTTTACTGTTGAGTTAAACCAATACTTAGAGAAGCGGTCTTTAAAGATGTTTAGTCAGATTGATATCCGTTTACTGTTGAATTAAACCATACTTAGGGAAGCGGTCTTTAAAGATGTTTAGTCAGATTGATATCCGTTTACGGTTGAATTAAACCATACTTAGAGAAGCGGTCTTTAAAGATGTTTAGTCAGATTGATATCCGTTTACTATTGAGTTAAACCATACTTAGAGAAGCGCTCTTTAAAGATGTTTAGTCAGATTGATATCCGTTTACTGTTGAGTTAAACCATACTTAGAGAAGCGGACTGTTGCCTTTGAATAGATTTAGATCCATCAGGATGGAAATCGTAGCTTAGTGTCCGCTACTGCGGTATTTTAACAGGTTCTCGGCTGAAATATAAGAGTTTTTTATGACTTATTTTGCACGGTATGTCTAAAAATTTCAAATCATTACAACTGTTGAAGGAATGGAACAGTTGGTGCAAACATTACCAGCCAGTTCCTCTCGAGTCAGGCGTATTATTATTATTTATTTGCCACTGTTGATAGATTCTAATAGCAACTGTCTTGAAACAACCGGTAAAAAAAAAAGGTCTTTAATAACAGAGCTAGCAGTAGACGGGCCCCTTCTATTTCACCCTTTTAAAAGTTGGGGAAATTCTTGTTATTAGCCATTATCCTGCATTTATATGGCTCAAGTAGTCACCTACAAGCCTTGGTTATGTGCTATACCAGCGACCGGGTCTGAATGTAATTACTGCAGAACCATCCTCTGGGCAGTCTGACTTGTTTCCCTGCAGTAGCGTGTTTGTCGGTCAGTCAGTCAGTCAGTAGACACTAAAATGACGTCACGAGAAGAATTATGTACTCTGTAAGCTAAAACATAGCATGACATATGAACTTCAAAAAGGAAGAAATAAAAATATTTGTTACTCTTAATTTTGGTTTTATTTACTCTTGAAATAGAAAACTTTCGAGATCCCTGTGGAAGTCCATTTAGTATAGTTTCAGTTTTAGACATGCGTAATGCCGGGTTAAACTGTAGGTAGTCGAGTAGCAGAAAGTTGTATATATATGTTATGAATGTTAGTGGCACGAAAACAAAACGTAAGAGCGTTACTCCGAGGATTTTGATATACTAATATCGGTCTAACTAAATTTTTGTTTGTTAAATTGTCGCGCCCTCCACCTCGTGGGTTTCTCCTCACCAATGAAAAGTGGGATTGACCGTAACATTATAAAACTCCCACGTCTACCTGTTTATTTGTAGCTAAGCACAAAGCTACACAGTGGGCTATCTGAGCTCTGCCCACCACGGGTATCGAAACCCGGATTCTAGCGTTGTAAGTCCGCAAAGATGCCGCTGTGCCACTAGGGGGGGGGGGTCATTTTTTCCAAAGTACTGCATTTTCAAACAGTATTAGGCTTAACCATAGATCAAAAAAATGAACGTCAGTGGTGGCTTACAATTGGAAGGGCTTCAGTACAGTATAACTAAGGCTGTTATTAGCTTTAGTTTTGAATTACGGGAATCTGTTAGTGTTTGTTTGTTTTGTAATTAAGCACAAAGCTACACAATGAGCTATCTGTGCT